GATAAAAGGAGAAACATAGAGAAAACAGGGAATCAAAGTCAGCCACTGAGAGAAATAGAGCCAGAGGCAGACAGAAAAAAACCCAGAAAAATAGACGGCTTCATAGAGCAGAGGAGACAAAAAAGCAGAGATGGAGAGAGGCAGAGGTAGAGTGACAGACAGAAAAAGGCAGAGAATAAAGGAAAAGACAGAAACAGAGAAGCAGACAAAGGGTAGAAAGGAAGAGACAGAAGCGAAGAGTGGGACAAAGACAGAGACAGAGCCAAAGACAGACAAAAACAGGCAAAAAGACAGACAGAGACAAGATAGAAATAATTCTTCAGAGAAAAAGGAGGGGTAGGTTGGGGGAAATGGAGACAGAGGGACCCGGAGTTTGGTTATAAATGGTTTTAATTGAGATTTATTTCCGAGGTTTGTTTTCCATGAAACAGTCATAAAAATACTTCACAGAAGTAGCGTCAATTAAGGCTCCTGGGGGAGGGGTTTGTTCCCTGGGACTGAGAGAAGGGGCTACAATCCAAAGGCTTCCCTGATATCATCCAGAATGAGACACATGATTGAAAGAAAGGGAGTGGGAGTACATGGAGAGGGAGAAATGGAAGACAGGAGTAAAGGAAAAAAACTGGGAGACTGGAAGAGAAAGGATACTAAATTTAGGGGAGGACTGAGGGGCAGGAATAGAAGTCACAGACTAGGAAGGATGGTGGGAGTTACAGAGTGAGGAGGTCTTGGGCAAGAGGAGGGTTTCAGAAGGGAAGAGCTGGGGAAGGCAGAGGGGGTAAGCTATTGGGGACCTGGAGAAATGACAAGAAGTTCTCAGAGGGAGACAGGAGGGGAACCACAAAGGGAGTAGAAGTAAGTGTACCAAGCCTGGAGTGGGGAAGAGGAGAACTACAGGGGGGCATGGAAAAGAGGCATGGTGCTCTTGGGGTAAGATAAGGGGGCCAGAGTGGAAGGGTGAGGAGAGAAGAGGAATCACAGGGACAGGAGTAGGTGGAAGGGGGATCACAGGAAACTATGGCAATGGTAATGGAAGGGAGATTACAGAGGGAGACTGGGAAATGGGGGGGTGGAAATAGTCACAGAAGAACTTAGTACTGTCTGGGAGGCTTGAGATGGGATGGGACAAGGGGAAGGTTAGAAGACAGCAGTCCAGAGCAGCAGAAGGAGAAGGGAAGCAGAGTAGTGGGTTGGATTACCTGGTGAGGGGGCTGCAGCCCCCGCAGCTCCCAGGCCTGCGCTCTCAGTGGGTAGCGCTGGCTGGGCCCTGACGGAGGTCTCCACAGGTGCTGTCCTTCCCAGAGCCTCTTCAGGGGGGGCCACCCTGTCCCCTGCCCCCTCCTTCCCCTCCACTCCTGGCAGTGTCCCAGTTGTTGGAGACAGACTGGGTGCCTCTTCAGAACTCCCCACTTCATCGCTCTCTCCATGAGGGACCCAGGGAGGAGTGCCCCCAGACAGCTCCGGTGCCCCGACCTCTTCCTCATCTTCTTCCTCAGTACCGACAGGTGTAGTGGGTGGAGGGGATGCTTGGCTCCCTTCCCCATGAGCCATAGCCCCAAGGGTTGGTAGGGTCTCGATGGACTGCCCCCTGACTCTTGGATGCTTGGGCCCCTCTGGCTGCCCCCCAGGAGAGAGCATGGCGCCATCATGTACAGACACCTGGGCCACCAGAGGAGCCTCAGACAGCCTTTCCTCACGGGGAGGCTCAGTGGAGAGGGAGCCATTCTCTATGGCTACTTCCCGGATCTCACTTAGTACCGGAGAAGGAGCTTCATCTTCCACTTCCTCCTCCTTTTCTCCCTCCTCTTGCCCCTCCTCATCCTCTTCCTCTATCACCTTCTCATCTTCCTCCTGCTCCTCCTCCTCAGAAGACCGCATGGGCGGGGTAACTGATTGGTCTGCATCCTCTGAACAAATGAAAGTAATATCAGGACCATGGACAGCATTCTAGGGCGGATTGACAAAAGAGGAAAGCGAGACCCAGGGAATTCTCAGGAACCCAGGGAGAGGAGTGTGGACTAGGGAAGAGAGAATTGTGGGTCACAAGGAGAGAGGGGCCTTGGAGACACTGGGTGGGGGAGCACCTGAGAAGAGTCAGGAAACTGAGGGATCTCAGGGGAGAGGGGAAGGATGGGCAGGGTGGGATGGACACTGGAATAGAGTCGAGGGAACTGTTGGACCCTGGAGGAGAGGAGAGGGGCTGGGAGACACTGAAGAAGATGAAAGAGGGTTGGGGGACCTTGAACTTGAGGTGAAGTGATGAGGAGGCAACTGGTACATGAGTAAATATGACTTTCTCTTCCTTTCTCCAATTCAGCACTTTCTATGGTGGAGGGGAAAAGGAACAGGTACCAAAAAGGGAAGCCTCTCTTTCCCAGTCAACATCTTCTTAGGTTAAGAATTCTCAGGCCCTTCCAAACCCATATAAGCTCTTTGTCTCTGCCCAAGAACACCATCTTATCAGCAGGAGAGATAGAGGCTGAGGAAGGCAGGTAGAGATGCCGGAAAAAGAAATTTCCTCTAATTTCTGAGTTGGGGGACAGAAGAGATGTCATCCGATCTTAGACTTGGCCAAAGGAGGGGTTGTGTGTCACAGATGGAGTGGTAGGGTTAGGTGCACCTCAAGATCACTCCGTTGATGAAAGCGCTAGTCTCTACACCACCTTTACCCTTTCATCCCACTGCAACTTGTGGGGCATAAAGATGGATTTACCTAGGAATGTCTTGGGGGCCTCTTCAGGATCCTCTGGGGTGGAGCTAATTCCCCTGCTGTCCTCTGAAATGGGGACAGAGTAGATGGCTCCTCGAGACTCACTTTGTGTGGCCTCCTGAAGTAGCTGAAGTTCCTGAAGGGTCTCTGTCACTGTAACAATGGTCTCCAGCCCATCTGAGGCTGGATAGGGATTCCTCGGGGAGACAGAGGATTGAGCAGGGTCTGTAGTTGAAAGGAGAGTGAGAAGATCATCATATGGCACATCTGGGTTTGAATGGGTGGGCTGGATAGGGATTTCCTCCATCCTTAGCTACCCTGGGTCCCTGATACAGAGGTATCCCTAGGGCATAGTTAGTGCCTTGCACAGATGAGGCACTTGATAAATATCGAATTGAGTTGAACCAAGGAAGTACCCAAAGATTATTTTGTACCATGTAATCCTACTCTACTGTATGTGAAGTAAACACAAGTGTTAGTAAACCAGACAGTTTTGATGAAGTGGAGAGGGTCCTCAATTAGGAATTAGAGAACTTAGGTTCAAAACATGACTGCGCCATCTTGGACAAGTCATTTCCCCTCTCTTAAATGAAGAAAGAGTACCACTAATCTGCAACTACAGAAATAATTTATTGAGAGAAAAGAGGCTATCATTGCAGCAGGAGAGATGGTAGTAAGATCATAGAAAAGACTTTCCAGAAGTCAGAACTAGAGGCGATCTCAGAGTTGGGGAAGGAAGGTAGAGACAGACTCTCTTAAGGATCTGGAAAATCATAATCCTTCCTCTACCATGGAATGGGCTGAGGATAAGGGAGTGAGTATAGTTGGGTACAGAGGAAGTGGAAAGGACATAATGATCCCAGGGAGGTGAATAATAACATACCTGCCCCTACTGCTTTTCAGGACTCCCCTCATTGAAAGAACCAGAGGGGCTGGGAATAAGTCATTTCAGACTCAGAAGGGAACAGAGGGAAGGAGAAAACCAATGAAGTGGGATTGGAAAAAAAACTAAGAAAAGAAAGACTTCATTATTCCTGTCCTGCCCTCACCCTGACCCTCAGACCATCTCCCTGCCCAGCCAGGCGAGACAGGAACAGCACGTCTCCTCACCACCTGCTTACAGCTCCACTCCAAACTTGATATCTCCCTCTCTTGCCAGCCTCATCTAGGTCTTGTCCTTTCCTCTCCCTGCATTTCACCTTCACATAGTTGTTCCTTCAGCCTTAGATAACTTTCTCCCCTCCACCTTGCCCAACCCATCCATCCTTCCCGTCCTCAACTCTGCTCCATGCTTATCTTCCTCAAGGGAGACCTCTCAACCAGAACTCCACTTCTGAAAATTCTCCCCCATCCTTCTAGTACAGGATCATTTGCCCTCATTTCTGTCCCTGGATTTGTGTCTGTGTCCTAAGGGTGAGATATCAGGCTGAAGGCCCAGCAAGAACAGGGACTATGTCTCCCCATTTAAACCCAGTGCCCCTTGAAGACACTTTCCATTATTACAATTGGGGATTCCATAAGGGCCAGGGCATTCTCCCTCATCAGATGGGGGATGAAGAAGGTGACCTCTATTTTAATTCTCCTTCTTTGCCCAGATGTAAACTATAGACAGGAGGACTAAGAAATGGAGAATGAGGGGCTTGAAGAAAACTAAGAGATATCTTCAGTACTGCTTCCCCACAGAACACTTTGCGCTGGGACTATCTGTTACACTTCCTTCTCTTTGACTTTGGTCATACTGGATCTATTCTCTGATTGGAGTCCTTCCGACATCTATCCAGAGGTCATAGAGACTTACCTCCTACCTGCACACTAAACACCTCAAGTCCAGTCTGACAGGGGTCCTTAACTCTTTCACCTCCATCATTTTCTCAGTTGTTCATAATTCCTGTTGCTTTCCAGTTCCAGGCACCATATTTTAGGAAAGATACTGACAACCTAGAGCAAGTCCAGAAGAGGCTGACTAAGCTAGTGAATGGCAATCATATTGGTAAAGGAAATAGCAATTTTTATCTGGGGGAAGTAAAGTTTTAAGGAAACCATTATTTCAGTCTTTAAATATTTTAAGAACTCTCAGGAAGAAGGATTACACTGATTCTATATATCTCCAGATTGTAGAGCTAGAATCAATGGGTGGAAATTTTAGAGTGACAGATTTTACTTTAACACAAAGAACTTTCTAGCAATCAAGGCTATCTAACAATGGAAAGGACTACCCAAAGTGGGAATGAACTAACTTCCTATTCTTTAAAAGTGCTCAGAGGCTGCATGATTATTTGTAAAAGATGCTACAAAAAAGACTCATTCATTGGAGAAACTATAGCCTCTACCCTCACAGTATTTCAACTCCAAAATGACATGATTCTGTAAATCTGGATTCTGGAAGACATCTGAATAATCCTAGGGGCACCTAAGTTGTAAGTGACAAAAGAGAATAGAAGAGTAGGCAGGACTGGGAATCCGGACCATCAAATACAGTATCCCCTGTTAGACTCTCAGTGTATTAGTCATTTCTGCTCTTACAAATGATCTAAGACCCAAAGGCTCCTCCCCTCAAGCAGGAAATGTTTGGGATGGTCCAAAAGGGAGCAGGCACTTGGAAATAGGAAGAAATTGAGAGTCTGTATATAGCCTTAGAGGGGGCCAATGTCTAGGGTTGTCACAGAGGCCATTATGAAGACCAGACCTAATAGGAGACTAGAACAATAGGTGATGAAGACAAGCTTCATAAAAGGATGGATCTACTTATCAACCAACTAGTAAGGATGTTTCAGGGAAACCTAACAGGTCAGAGAGAAGGTATCTGGTATAGTCAAAAGGACAATGGACTAGATATCCACAGATGAATTCTAATCTTACCTCTGCTGCTTACTACTTGTGTGACTTTGAGAGAGTCATTTAAGCTCTCTGTGCCTCAGTTTCCTCCTCCATAAAATTAGAGATCTAAATGGTCTAGATGATCTAAAACTTAGGTTTCTTGAGGGTATATATTGTATTCTTTTTGCCTTTTTGTCCCTAGCACCTAACAAGTGTATCCTTAGCATCAGAGTGTATTCTTACTTTTTTGTTTTGTTTCCCCCCTCAGTCTCTCCCTGTATCTTTCACTATATATATTTTTTCCCTTTCTAAGTCTTTCCATTCTCCTGCACCTCAGTTTCTTTGTATGTGTATCTAAGCTGATACTAAATGCTTATTAAAATATATTGAATACCAAGGTAATGATTGCTGAGTTCACAATGAAAACAATTTTTAATATAAAAAACAATTCTAAGGACTCTTCTACTTCTAACAAACCATGTATTTAGGAAATGGGTCAGAAAGAAGGCAGGACTACTAGAGGTGAGAGACTTCTAGGAGGGACAAAGGCAGATCTAAGGTTGGTGTAGGGCAGATAAACCCCACCCCAGCTGAGGGATCTTTGGGGCCAGATATGGAAGGGTCTTCTTCACCTGGAGGCCAGGGACCAGGGAAGACCCAAAGGCTTCAGTGCAGCTTCAGAGCAGGTGTTCAGTGCAGTCCTCCTCAGAGTCTGATGGAATGAGGTGGGGACAGGTTCTGGGAGGCAATAAGAATCCAATCCAACCAGCCCTAGAAACAGTGCCAGCCTTAAGCTGCCTGTGGCTGTGGGTCTGGATAACTCTAGCATCAGTATGCCATCTAGCTCAAATGGCTAAAAAGAAAGAAGAGAGCTGAGGACTAGGACAGCCAGACCAGACTAGGATAGGAACAGCAGTCTGCATTCAGAAGACACATTTTGTTTAGTTTGTGTAGTATGTTTCTCTTGAATTTCCTAGTGAAAATTCCTTTGGAAAGATTCCAACTTTGTCTCAGCAAAACTGAAAGAGAAAGGATTTTTTTCCATCGTTCTGGGAGAACAGGCAGGGGAGTCAGTGTGCAATGAATGCAATGGAACCAGAGTAGCTCCAGGAGAGACAGGTGGAACTGGGGCTGCTGGAATCTGGGAGAGGAAGAGTGGGGAACAGCTGTGATGATACTCCCCTGCCTGGAGCCAGCCCCTCGGTCTTCCATCTCAAACTGTCTGGAAGTCTGCCCTTCTATCTAAGCTGTGTTCCTCTTATTACACGACCAGTATGTTACACACACACACACACACACACACACACACACACACACACACACACACCCCTTTTCTTTTCCCTTCCAGGTACCTCAGTGGGTTCCTCTTTCTGTCTCTGACTCTTTTAATCTCTGCTTGTTTTTTTTTTTCTCAGTCTCCCTGTTCCTCTTCCTCTATGTCTCTATTTCCATCTCTACCTTCCTCTGTGTTCCTCTGGGTTTCCACTTCTATTTCTATCTCTTGTCTCCAGCTCTCTTGTTCTGTTTCTCTGTCTATGTCTCTCTGTGTGTGTCTGTCTTCCTCTAGCCCCTTTTGCTTTTATTTCTTCACGTGTTAGTAGAGTGTGTCAGTCTGACCATCTTCAGTTCTTCTGATTGTTTTTCTCTTCACCTCTTTGTGTCATTGTATCTCTGTCCTTCTGTATTTCTCTATGCCTCTGTCTCTTTTTTGTTGTTTTTTTCCCCTTAGTCTCTTCTTGTATCTATTTCACCACATATATTTTTTTCTTTCTAAATCTTTCTTTTCTCCTGTGCCTCTATTTCTTTGTACGTGAGCTTCCCTAGATCTCTTGGGCCCTATGCCTCTGTCTCTAGCCCTTTCTCTCATTCCCCCAGAAGGTGTAAGACTCTTAGGTAAGGCTCACCTCTGAAGCAGTAGACGTTGAAACGGCTGTGTGCATTAGGAAACCCAGTCTGATTAGGGAAGAGGAAGAGTGTTTTGACACCAGGCAGGCCTCCCCCACAACGCTGTCGGGGTGTGACGATGGGGTAGCGCACACTACCATCGGCAAGCCACCCAGGGCTACACCGGTCCAGGCCTTCATCCCAAGCTGCATAAAGTTGTCCTGTTGTGGCGATCTCTGCTCCCCGTTCCCAGCAATAAGCCCGTGCCTCTTCCAAGGTCAGCTTGTCTGGGGTAGAGCCCAGAAACAGCTCCCCTATGAAGCACAGGGAAAGAAGATAAGGTTGCTAAGAGGTAGTAAGCAGCCAGGGAAGTCAGGATTTATAGCTAGGAGTTTCAAAAATCATCCAGTCTTGCTCCACTAATTTCATAGATGAAGAAATTGAAGCCCAAGGAGGTATAGTGACTCATCTGAGATGATACAGGCAGTTACTTGGGATTTGAACCCACTGACTCCAACTCCAGGTAGAAATCCAGTTTTGGGGATGTCCCCATTATAGATTTAACTCAATGTATAATCCTCAGCAAATCACTCATTCAACTTACTTGGGTCTCAGTTTTTTCATCAGTGACACGGGATCAGTGAACTTAGAGCTAGAAGGGACTTGAATGCTACCTCCCTTCCTTCTAGGGTTGGCAAAAAGATATCATCACAGGTAGAAGGGGTCTTAGAGATCATTTGTTCTAACCCCTTTATTTTATGGATGAGGAAACTGAAGTCCAGACAGGGAGGGGATGGATCCCGAAAGCCTCCCTCAGTGGTAACACGGGAATTTTCCGCTGGGCAAGGGTCATCTCACTCCCTGGGGATTCTGAAAAGGGGTCTTTCCCTTACCCACAAACCCCTAATCACCATTTAGATCTTCAGCATAGCAGTAAACATCATAGAGGTCCTCTGGATCCACCATGCCATAGTTACGAACTCCAGGAAATCCATCCATGTCTCCATAACAGGCCTCTCGGGGAGTCTGGATGGGATACCTGGGGAGAAAGGAGGACCCAAGGTCAGTACTGTGTGTGTGTGTGTGTGTGTGTGTGTGTGTGTGTGTGT